CACCCCTTCAGTAATAGTAGCCATGAATATCCTCCTTAGTAGCAAGATATTAGCTGCAAGCAGCATAAATTTTTTACTACCCCTTTGCCGATTTTCCATCGAGTACCCTCAACAAGAAGCACTTATAATTTCCTGAAATTTCAAAATTTCTTACATCAAAACCGATGTTCTACGTGTAGCGTCATTTTTTCTAGTCTTTTCGAGGCTGCTTCAAAAAAAAATTTTTTTACCGAATACATTCCTAGACGGAATAATAAATTATGTTAGAAGGCCGAATCGTAGATAAGACGTATATGACTTAATGGACTGAAACATCTTAACTTTTTCGTACTTATTTTTCCTATACCAACTATATTTCTACATCCATCAATACATCGTTCTATTTCTGCCCTATTTAATTTCTTAATATTACTTGTATGCTACAATCATGCTATAATCAGCTTAAAAAAAGTGGTCGGTTCAAAGAATAAGAAAAGGTTGAGTGGCTGGAGTCAGAAAGTAACCAAGGGTGGGGTAGTCCTATCATTTTCAAACATTTCATTGTGAGATGGAAAAGGTATTTTAAAAGTAACCAAAACAAAAAAACACTTTAGCAACAGCGATCAGGTTACCCTTCAAAAAACAACCATATCAAAGAATTACTATATTCATAAAACAACTGAAAAAAAAATAAGCTTACTGGTAATAATGAGCACAAAGCTGATGATAGGCATTTGTGTTATAACAAAAAACACTTGTTACTAGTAGCTATTGCGTTTCGAGATACACCGGTATTGCTTTTATTCATTTACTACCTAATTTGATACTAGTTCTAATGGAAAAGGTACTCCATCGTGCTCTAGGAGTGGCAAAACGTTCAAAATAACGTTCGATATCTCATAGACTTCTGACATAAAACGGAAAAGGTACCAATTTTCGTACTTCAGTTAAAAGTATTACTATTTTCAATCTTCTACGCGAGGTGCAAGTACCTCATGCGCCTTCTCGTACATGGATGCTACCTCTCGCAGCCGCAGTATTAAGAGATACCAGCTTTAACATTTAAACAACATGGACAGAAGTGCCCCTTCATTCCCCTGTTAATCTACGATGGACCAGTTTCCGCAGAATTTTCCTGACAAAACTTGAAAATCCCCCTTAATCAAAAACCATACATAAAATGCCCAAAACTGAATTCCAACTATGCTATAAACTAAAATTAAAAAAGCTAATACAAAAAAACCAGATAAAAATGATAAAGCTTTTTAAAAACTAAAAATTTAAAACGCTTACTAAAGCTTTTTAAAAACTGCACTTATTATTGTTCAACCGGATATTTAGCTAAATTTAAGAAAAATCATGAGAGGGTACGTATAAAAGATGTATCGTAGTGCAAAATAAGCGTTTTGAGGAAGGTCATTTCACGTCGCGCATTATCAAAGATAACACGCGGATCGTCACTGCCACACCTCAGAACATTTGGTGCCATTACCATCGCCAAATTACACACATCCATTTTCGTGCATTTCACTGTTTCTTCTTCTGCCAGCAACTAAAAACACATCCTTTATAAAAAATGCAGTGCGAGAAAATCTTAACTTATCGAAAACTGTTAAAAACGGGAAGAAATACCCGCGGGCAAAGAAACAATTATTCCAACAAATTCGTAAAAAATTACATAGATCTATCAAACAGTAGGTGAGTACTAACTGGAGGTATACAGCTTAGGATCAAAGAGCCTGACTTAGTTGCGCTTAGTGTGTTGGGAGCATTTCTGGTCATACCCACACTGATTTTTCGACTAATAATGCCAAACAAACTGCATATATTGGTATATAGAAGACTTCAGGTCCCCGTTCTTTTCCAATTTCCTTGCCAAGAATATTCACTGTTTGTATCTTTAAGATTTCTACAACACTTAATACTCTCCATATTCACGTTTATTCATTGTTATCCAGCATCGTCACTATACAATGACAGAATACAACTCAAGCTCTTTTGTAGAAAAAGTAAAAAAAAAAAAGTAAATCAAACCTGAAGAAGTTCAAGCAATTTTGCTAATACAAGTCGATTTACAGCAGGAAGTAGCTCAACAATCCGGCAAGCCTCTTCCGGTTGATCACAGACAGCCAGGCATCGCGAATAAAATGCATCTGGGAGTAGCGGTTCCGGAAGCGAACGTAACCACAACTTTAGTAAGGCAGCCGGTACATGTGCATCACGTACCACTGGAACAACTCCACGATCCAGGCGCAATCGAGCTGCAAGCTCAATCACTGCCATTACTCTTTGAATACCCAAATTAGCAAGCAAAACAACAAACCAAACGAAGAGAATTTGTCTACCTGTATGCACATGATCGGGATTTGCTGGCACACGAAAAAGTCCTTCGGTATGCTGGCCATCTGCTGATAAAATCAAATCTATTAGCGTTGTCTCTAACCAAGGCAGCATCCTGAAAAGTTATCTAAGTCAACTTATCCTTCTTCGTTTCTTTATAATTTGTAAGGACTCAGTTGATAAGACATTTCATCCTGGTCCAGGAGTGGTAACGTTTGGCGCGAGGTAACGATGCTCAACAAATATCAAAGATACTTCAAAACGGCTAAAGGCTTGGCAACTGTTTTTGTCGGAAGGGTCCTTGATAATCCTCTCAGAAAGCGAGAACGAAGATGGTTATTAAACGATGCAACACTGGTCAAAGCCACCCTTCCCAGACCACGCCAATAGTGCTCCCTTCAAACCACACCAAAACTGGAAGATTTTTCAGGTATTATATGCAAGAAATTCTCTAATATTATGTGCAAGCTGTTCATTGATGACTCTGAATAGCTCAAGCTGATCGCATGGTTTTGCACCGGTATCTATCAAATGTCTAAGAAATTTTAGGATGCTGACTATGTTTCATCCCTTATCTGTAAACACCGATCAAACGCAGCATGCCGGAAGGAGTGGAAAACATCAGTACAGCTTCCGGAAAAAACTGGACTGAATGCAAAAACTGAACAGTAAACAAGCAAAACTATGCTACCTTTCAGGATATTTTTCAGCTTGCATTTCCATAAGCTCTTCCAGAGGAGCGGAGAATTGAGGAGGATTAAAAATATGTACACGGGACTCCTGAATTAGACTGAGCGATGGCTTCTGCCCGGCTGATGTCACCCGCATCATACGTCTACTGCACTGAATTGCGTAGTGTGATACGGGTACCTATAAAAAAACAATGAATTACAGGAATCTAACGCATCTGGCCTGAACCTGTCAATTACTAACGGTAAATTACGGTAAATCGCTACTACTAACGGTAAATTACAGCAACTGCTCTGAACGGTAATTACTAACGGTAAATTACGGCAACAGCTTTGAACGATAAATTACTACTTTCACCCGAAAAAATAGAGAATAATGAATAAAATACCTCAGGCATATCCAACAATCGATCCGAATTTGACTCAATGAACTCAGTCAGCCTTTGCGTAACTTCTGGATTGGCTGGCCCAAAAAATGACAGGAAAATGGCAAGTAATTCCCAGCCTTTGCGTACCGATTCACATCGTTCATTGGAAGTCAACTGCTTCATAAGCTGACAAAAAAGCTCATCGGCGAAGCTTTCTTTTGAGAAACCCCACTCGCAAAGTGTCAGTGCTAGCTGCAAATAAAACTTTGTATA